CCTGTAGTCCCAGCTACTCGGGAGGCTGAGGCAGGAGAATGGCGTGAACCTGGGAGGCGGAGCTTGCAGTGAGCTGAGATTGTGCCACTGCACTCCAGCCTGGGTGACAGACCGAGACTCCGTCTCAAAAAAAAAAAAAAAAAAGAAAATATATCTATTGAATAATACATAATTATAGCTGGGCAGGAGAAATAAGTTCAAACAATATGTTCTACAGCATAGTGACTATAGTTAATAATAATGTATTTGCATTTTTAAAAAAAATTAAGACAGTATCATGTGCTCACCACAAAAAAAGTTAACTGTGAAGCATTAAATAAAATTAAGCATTTGACAATGTATATATACTTCAAAATCTAATGTTCTACAAAATAAATACACATTTATTTATTACAGATGGTAATGGTATGAAAGACACTAAAAAGGCAGGTGTTTGGGCTGGGCATGGTGGCTCATGCCTGTAATCCCAGCACTTTTGGGAGGCTGAGGCAGGCAAATCATGAGGTCAAGAGATCGAGACCATCCTGGCCAACATGGTGAAACCCCATCTCTACTAAAAAGACAAAACTTAGCTAGGCGTGGTGGTGCATGCCTATAGTCACAGCTACTTGGGAGGCTGAAGCAGGAGAATCGCTTGAACTAGGGAGGTGGAGGTTGCAGCAAGTCAAGATCGTGCCACTGCACTCCAGCCTGGTGACAGTGCGAGACTCCTTCTCAAAAAAACAAAACAAAACAAAACACTTACATTGATAAGCAAACTCTCCAGTTAAAATTAATTTTCTTTCTTTTTTTTTGCGGCAGAGTCTCGCCTTGTTGCCTAGGCTGGAGTGCAATGGCACAATATCGGCTCACTGCTACCTCCGCCTCCTGGGTTCAAGCCATTGTCCTGCCCCAGCCTCCTGAGTAGCTGGGATTACAGGCACATGCCACCCTGCCTGGCTATTTTGTATCTTTAGTAGAGACAGGGTTTCACCATATTGGCCAGGCTGGTCTCAAACTCCTGACCTCATGATCTGCCCACCTCAGCCTCCCAAAGTGCTGGGATTACACATGTGAGCCACCGCGCCTGGCCAAAAAAGCAATTTTTCAAGTGTATTAAAAATACCAATTTTCTCATCAAAACCTACAAAGTAGCATGTGAAATGACATGGCATTAAAAAAAAGTGAGAAAATTGTAGCTATAAAAGAGAGAGAGAAAAAAAGAAGGGCTGTGATGCCATACATAGTTGAAAAACACATAATAAGACAAACAAAACTGAAGATAACTGGAAAATAAAAGAAGCAGAATATAATTTTGCTTTATATTCAGCAAGAGTCCAGTTTGCTGCCTAAAAAAAGATCCTCTCCACATAAAGAATCAATGTTTTTTCTTTATCATTTATATTTTACATCTCTGACTTAAAGTTACAAACTAACTCTAGCAGGAATATTTATAGATTATAAAACATGTTACTCAGCAAGCACTGTCATGTTTTTTGCTACATTTATATATTAAAACATTCTCATGACTTATGAAGCCTCCTTAGTACTTACCTGAATGTTATGGGAAGTCAGGGACCCCGAACAGAGGGACCAGCTGGAACCGTGGCAGAGGAACATAAATTGTTTAGATTTCATCTTAATATGGACATTTATCAGTTCTCATATAATACTTTTGTAATTTCTTATGCCTGTCTTTAATCTCTTAATCCTGCTATCTTTGTAAGCTGAGGATGCACATCACCTCAAGGCCACTGTGATAATTGTGTTAACTGTACAAATTGATTGTAAAACGTGTGTTTGAACAATATGAAATCAGTGCACCTTGAAAAAGAACAGAATAGCAATTTTTATGGAACAAGGGAAGACAACCACAAGGGCTGACTGCCTGCGGGGTTGGGTAAAAAGAGTCATTTTTTTTTTTTTCTTGCAGAGGGCCTATAAATGGACGTGCAAGTAAGAAACATATCGTTAAATTATTTTCCTAACAAGGAATATTAATACCCTGGGAAAAGAATGCGTTCCTGGGGGGAAGTCTATAAACGGCCACTCTGGGAATGTCTTGTCTTGTGCTGTTAAGGACTGAGATAAGCCCTAGTATCCTGCAGAACCCTTAGGCTTACTAGGGTTGGGAAAACTCAACCCTGGTAAATTTGTGGTCAGACTGGTTCTCTGCTCTCGAACCCCGTTTTCTGTTAAGATGTTTATCAAGACAACACATGCACTGCTGAACATAGACCCTTATCAGTGGTTCTGCTTTTGCCCTTTGCCCTGTGATCTTTGTTGGACCCTTATCAGTGGTTCTGCTTTTGCCCATTGCCTTGTTCCCTCAGAAACATGTGATCTTCGTTAGACCCTTATCAGTGGTTTTTTGCTCTTTGAAGCATGTGATCTTTTTACCTACTCTCTGTTCTTACACGCCCTCCCCTTTTGAAAGCCTTAATAAAAGACTTGCTGCTCAGGCGGGCATCACGGTCCTACTGATACGTGACGTCACCCCTGGCGGCCCAGCTATAAAATTCCTCTCTTTGTACTGTCTCTCTTTCTCAGCCGACTGACACTTATGGAAAACAGAAAGAACCTATATTGAAATACTGGGGGCGGGTTCCCCCAATACCTGAACTGGCTCAATCAACAAATAAATTTACTTCTGTCAATTATAAAAAGTGAAAGGAATAATAACTAAAGTAGGCTTACATAAGGTTCTTCAATTAAAAGAACAAAATAGAAAGTTTTAATTCAATGAAACAATACACTAATCGTGTCATTACATCTAAAATTATTTTGTGTGACCTACTAAATTTTATAAAAATAGGGTATATCTTTGACCACTTCACATAATGAAAACCTCATAAACTATAAAAGAAAAAAATTACAAGCAACAACAAAAAAGTGGGCCTAGCATGAGTACCAATCAAGCAAAAGCAAAATTTGCATTAGCAGATTTTGAATCCATAAGCCATACTATTTTACAGTAATTCAGTAGAAAGAGTATAGATTTGCTTTCAGTATTTTTGAGGTTTATAGTTTTCTAGTACATTAACTTACTAAAATGTTTTCTTCCAATATTGCTCTTTTCTCCTGAAAATAGGTACAAATTTATATTCACACAAACATGCCTACTTACTCCATAATTTTCTTACACCTAGGGTTTAACTTAAATGTATGTATATACTTAACTTTATGTAAATCAAAACTGTATGTGTTTGCAGGCAGAGAAGCCACATGTTCAAAAATATATAACATTTTAATGTTTATTTAGGACTCAGAATGTATGGACTTTATTTACACTTCTATACAATTTTTAGTATAACCATAAAAATAGCTCTGTAGTCAATAACAATCGTACATTAAAAAAAACTAAAACTGTAGAGTTGGTTTATAATACAAAGGATAAATGCTGGAGATGATGGATACTTAATTTTCCCTGATGTAATTATTACATATTATATGTCTGTATCAAAATATGCTATATATGGCATATACACAATGTATCCACAAAAAATTAAAAAGTATAAATTTAAATAAGAAATAAATATTTAACCTATGGGAACAATATTCTTTAACCTCCTTGCAGTTTAAAGTCACTGGCAAAGAGGATTACTAGAAATGTTAGTCCATTATGTTACCAAAGAGTATGGTACCATCTTTTGCCTACACCCTTGAGTAAGGTGAAATAGGTTAAAATTAGTGGCATAATAACTTTATTAAATGCACAATTTTATAAACATGTTAAATAAAATTTTAATAAAATATTGTTCACACATAATTTAAAATTTTAAGAATGTACATTTTATTACATAAAAGTACAATTAGTAATTTACTAATTTTAACTAAAATTTAAAATGTTTTCTCACTATAATGCAGATTACTCTGAACACCTACTTCATGTGTCACTTATATTAATAAAGAGCCTCTCCACTTAGATTTTTATCATATGTCTTACATTTTAATGTTCTTACCCTTCCATAAAGATCATAACGCCCACCTAATAAAAAAAAATTGTATCTCTGATGTAGCAACAATTAGTCACAAGTTTTTATATGTGAATACAAATGAAGAAAGAGCAAGAAGTAATTTGAGAGTTGAATTACAATGTTATTCATGTTGCAAACAATCTCTATTTTTTAAGGAAAAAAGTGTACTTTCAATGTAATTATAACTTTTCAAGAAATTTTTTACATCTTTTAAAGTTATACACAAATAATTTATCTACCAACTCTAGTTCTGGATTATTTTTTATACTCAGCACTGATTTACTGTAATGTCTGAAGTGCCTTAGATATTTCTACTGTGAGTTATCTGACATTTACATAGACTTAATTTTAGAATAGTTTTACATTTACATCTGCAAAAAAATACTATATATATATAGAGAGAGAGAGAGAGAGAGAGAGTTTCACTCTTGTCGCCCACGCTAGAGTGCAATGGCGCCATCTTGGCTCACTGCAACCTCTGCCTCCCTGGTTCAAGCGATTCTCCTGCCTCAGCCTCCTGAGTAGCTGGGGTTACAGGCACTCACCACCATGCCTGGCTAATTTTTATATTTTTAGTAGAGACAGGGTTTCGCCATGTTGGCCAGGCTGGTCTCAAACACCTGACCTCAGGTGATCCACCCACTTTGGCCTCCCAAAGTGCTGGGATTACAGGCGTGAGCCACCATGCCTGGCCTGCAAAAACATATTTTAGTATTAACTCTATGATGTTTTCTAAGCTACAGATTTTGAAAAAATATGCTTTTCTAGATTTTGAAAAAATCTGTTTTACAGATTTTGAAAAAATCTGCTTTTCATTTTTCTTTTGAGAAAATATGCAGAGTTTTTCTCCCATATAGATTCACTGATGTTGAAAAAAGTTTGAGCAACTGCTTCAGTTTTTCTCTAGTACAAAATGTGTATGGTAAGATTTGTGATACCAGTACATGTACTACAACCCTCTTTATGTTTGTAACCTTTGTCTTCAAAATGAATACTCTTCTTCACTTTAATGACTTATATTTTCTTAAAATCTTTAGACAGTAATTGCATTTATAATGCTTTTATTAAGTACCAACATTCTGATATTAGGATGTCAACAGATATTAATGGCTACTTTACATTCTTTATATTTGTACAATTTTTCTTAAGTATAAATGCTTTCCTGTGCAATAAGGTTTGAGCCTTAATTAACAGTATTGCCAAATTCTTCACACTTGTAGTTTTCTCCAGTATGAATTATCTTACATATAATGAAGTGTGAAAACCATTTAAAATCTTTGACACATTCTTTACATTTCTAGAATTTTTCACCAGTATGATTTCCTTTATATTTAGAAAAGTTTGAGGCGTTGTCAAAAGCATTGTCACACCTTCCAGTTTTGTAGAGTTTCTCTCCAGTATGAATTTTTTTATGTTTAGTAAGGTTTGCAGATTGGTTAAAAGCTTTGTCACATTTCTCACATTTATAGGGTTTCTCTCCAGTATGAATTATCTTATGTTCAGTAAGTTTTGAGGATCGGCTAAAAGCTTTGCCACATTCTTCACATTTGTAGGGTTTCTCCCCAGTATGAATTCTCTTATGTGTAGTAAGGGATGAGGAGTGTTTAAAAGCTTTGCCACATTCCTCACACTTGTAGGGTATCTCTCCAGAATGAATTTTCTTATGTTCAGTAAGTTTTGAGGATTGGATAAAAGCTTTGCCACATTCTTCACATTTGTAGGGTTTCTTTCCAGTATGAAGTTTCTTATGTTCAGTAAGTTTTGAGGATCGGTTAAAAGCTTTGCCACATTCTTCACATTTGTAGGGCTTCTCTCCAGTGTGAATTCTCTTATGTGTAGTAAGGGCTGAGGAGTGTTTAAAAGCTTTGCCACATTCTTTACATTTGTAGGGTTTCTCTTCAGTATGAATTTTCCTATGTTCTGTAAGATTTGAGGATCGGTTAAAAGCTTTGCCACATTCTTCACATTTGTAGGGTTGCTCTCCAGTATGAATGTTTTTATGTTCAGTAAGTTTTGAGGATCGGTTAAAAGCTTTTCCACATTCTTCACATTTGTAGGGTTTCTCTCCAGTATGAATTCTCTTATGTGTAGTAAGGGTTGAGGATTGGGTAAAAGCCTTGCCACATTCTTCACATATGTAGGGTTGCTCTCCAGTATGAATTTTTTTATGTGTAGTAAGATTTGAGAACTGGTTAAAGGCTTTGCCACATTCTTCACATTTGTAGGGTTTCTCTCCTGTATGAATTATCTTATGTGTAGTAAGGTGTGAAGACTGGTTAAAGGCTTTGCCACATTCTTCACATTTATATGGTTTCTCTCGAGTATAATCTTTTTTATATTCAGTAAGGTTTGAGAATTGGTTAAAAGTTTTGTCACATTCTTGACATCTGTAGAGTTTCTCACAAGTATAAATTCTTTTATGTTTAGTAAACTTTGAAGATTGGTTAAAAGCTTTTTCACATTCTTCACATTTGCAGAAATTCACCTTGGTATAATTTCTTTTACGTTGAGTTAGGTGTGAAAGAATGCAAAATGATTTGCCACATTCTTTACATTTGAAAGGTTTATTTTCCACATGTTTTATCTTATGTCTATCTGAATGTGAAAATTTATTAAAGACTTTCACATATTTATCACATTGAAACATTTTGCTCTGCGTAGTTGGTAAACATTGGTTAAGTCCATTATAACCTCCTTTGTACACCTTACATTCATCCACACTTTTACAGCCTTTTAACTGAAGATTATCATTTCCACATTTTTCATATCTTCTCAGTGCCACTTTTTCAAAAGAATCTTTTATGTTCTGCTCTGGCCAAAACTCTTGGGCAAAATGAGAACACATTACTGAAAGAAATAAAAATAACACATTACTTTACAGACTCAGATAAATATACTTTCCAAACCTAACTTATAAAATTACACAAACTACATAAGCAAGATGGCACCACAGGCCATAATTAAGTGTATGCATTGCCCCAGGTAAGCACAAGGCAAAGAGCCACATAGAAAAAAAAAAAATTCTGTCACATTTACCCAACACAGCTTTTTCTACTCCCCAATATAACATAATGTTTCTAGAAGTAAACCGCAGCCAGGCGTGGTGACTCACACCCATACTCCCAGCACTTTGGGAGGCTGAGGCGGGCGGATTGCGAGGTCAGGAGTTCAAGACCAGCCTGGCCAATATAGTGAAACAGTCTCTACTAAAAATACAAAAAAAAAAATAGCTGGGCATGGTGGCGGGAGCCTGTAGTCCCAGCTAATTGGGAGGCTGAGAATTGCTTGAACCTGGGAGGCTAACGTTGCAGTGAGCCGAAATCGCACCATTACACTCCAGTCTGAGTGACAAAGCAAGACTCTGTCTCATAAAAAAAAAAAAATGGCAAACTTCAATTACTTACATATAGAGGAATACCTGAGAGTGAATAATTTATAAAGAAAAAAGGTTTATTTGGCTCACAGTTTGGCAGATTGTACAAAAAGTGTGTGCCAGCATCTGCTTCTGGTGAGGGTCTCAGGAAGCCTACAATCATAGTGGAATGCACAGATTAACTGAACATATCACATGGTAGGATACAAAGCAAGTGTGATAAGCCAGGTTTTTGGTTTTTTTTTTTTTTTTTTTTTAATGAACCAGCTCTTACTTGAATTAACAGAGTGTAAACTTACTGATTATCAAGAGGATAGTGCCAAGCCATTCATGAGGAACTTTCCCTCATGGCCTAAGCACCTCCCAGTAGGTCCCATATTCACCTTCCATCAGGACCCAAATCAATAATGATGATTACATTGCAATATGAGGTTTGGAGAACACAGACATCCAAGCCACATCACAGACCAAACAGGCTTAACAGACCTGTACAAGCCTTTTAAATCAAAATCAAGAGAATACACAATATCCTTATTTGCACCTGGTGTATTCTGTTAGGACACAAATCAAGTCTTATTAAATTTAAGAATGCTGGCTAGGTGCAGTGGCTCATGCCTACAATCTCAACACTTTGGAAGACCCAGCTGGGCCAGAAATTTGACACCAGTCTGGGCAACATAGCAAGACACTATTCCTACAAATAATCAAAAAATTAGCCAGGCATGGTAGTAGCCATGACACGTCTGTAGTGCCAGCTACTTGGGAGACTGAGGTAAAAGGATCACTTGAGCCTGGGAGTTTATGGCTGCAGTGAGCCAAAATTATGCCATTGCACTCCAGCCTGAGTGACACAGTAAAATCTTCTCTCAAGCAGCAACAATAAATAAATTTAGGAAGATCAAAATTATAAACATTTTCTGACCAAAAGTGAATAAAACAAAACATTAAAAGCAAAAGTAAAATTGGCAAATTGAAAAATATATCAAAATAAAACACAGTCTTCAACATATTCTTGGCTCAAGGGCCAAAACACTTAATTTTTCAAAAATGTCAATGCAACCAAAAGTGGTGAACAAATTCAACATAATCTCTATAAAAATCCCATTAGCAGTGGCTCATGCCTATAATCCTAGCACTTTGGGAGGCTGAGGTGGGCAGATTACCTGAGATCAGGAGTTTGGGACCAGCCTGGCCAACATAGTGAAACCCTTTCTCTACTAAAAATACAATAATTAGGTGGGTGTGGTGGCATGTGCCTCTGGTCCCAGCTACATAGGAGGCTGAGGTAGGAGAATCACTTGAACCCAGGAGGCAGAGGTTGCAGTGAGCCGAGATAATGCTACTGCACTCCAGCCTGGGTGACAAAGACTCCATCTCAAAAAAAAAAAAAGGTATATGTATATACACACACACACTCACACACATATACACACACACATACACACACAAATGGATTATTCAGCCTTAAATAAATCTTGTCACATTTTAAGATAAAACTTTGAGAATATTATGTCACCTGAAGTAAGCCAGTAACAAAATGATGGATACTATATGATTCCACTTATATGAGATATCTTAATTAGTCACACTGAAAGTGCAATGGTGTTTGTCAAGGGCTGGAGAGAGGATAAAATGGGCAGCTGTTACTTAATGGGTATTGAATTTTAGTTTCACAAGATGAATACAAATATACTAACCATGCCTGAAAGGTATAGTTTTTTTTGAGACAGGTTCTCACTGTCATCCAAGTTTGAGTAAAGTGGAACAATTATGGCTCACTATAGCCTCAAACTCCCAGGCTAAAGTAATCCTGCACCATCAATCTACCAAAAAGCTGGGACCACAGGTGTACACCACCACGCCTGGCTATTTTTAAAAATTTTTTGTAAACAGAGAATCTCCATACGTTTCCCAGGCTAGTCCCATGCTTTTGGGCTCAAGCAATTCTCCTGTCTTGGCCTCCCAAAATCCTGGGATCAAAGATGTGAGCCACCACCATGCCTGGCCCTGAAATGTACACTTCAATAGATTTTAGATGGTAAACTTTACTTTATGTGGTTTTACAATTAATTTTTTTAAAAGAAAAACTGGAAAAAATATGGAATTATAAATCTCTACATAAATTATCTTCAAATCACAAAAGTGTTTCTCTCGCACAAAAGAAATATATATTTATTATTAAACACATGGTGAAAATAAGACTATCTCACCGGGCGTGGTGGCTCACGCCTTGTAATCCCAGTACTCTGGGAGGCAGGTGGATCGCCTGAGGTCAGGAGTTGGAGACCAGTCTACCACAGGGAGAAACCTCGTCTCTACTAAAAATACAAAAATTAGCTGGGCGTGGTGGCGCATGCCTGTAATCCCAGCTGCTCGGGAGACTGAAGCAGGAGAATCACTTGAACCTGGGAGGCAGAGGTTGTGGTGGGTGGAGATCATACCATTGCACTCCAGCCTGGGCAACAAGAGTGAAACTCCATATCACAAAAAAAAAAAAAAAAAAAAAGTGAGACTTTATTATCAAAAATCCCAACCTGGGCCAGGCATGGCAGCTCACACCTGTAATCCCACCATTCTGGGTGGCTGAGGTGGGAGGATTGCTTGAGGCCAGGAGTTTGAGACTAGCCTGGGTAACATAGTGAGACCCATCTCTCTTAAAAATAAAAAAATTAGCTGGGTGTGGTGGTGCACAGCCGTGGTCCCAGCTACTGAGGAAGCTGAGGTGGGAGGTTGGTTGAGCCCAGGAGGTCGAGGCTGTAGTGAGCTATGATCATACCACTGCACTCCAGCCTGGGTAAAAGAGTAAGACCCTGTCTCAAAAAAAAAAAAAAAAAAAAAAAAAAGACTATCTCCATGACTAATCACTTAGACAAGATAAAACGACCATTGAAAATCAGATAAGAAAGAATACACACAAGATAAGCCATAACCAAAATTGGGGTCAAATTTATTAACACACACATATAATCTGACTGGGATAGATATATGGCTGATTTATTTCTTAATTAAATCCCATAGATTTAAAGTGTACAAACAATTGCAAATTGTCTAAAATGGTAAAACAAAAAAACACAATAAACAGATGTCAAACTGAAAAAACACACTAATATGGAATGGCAAAACCATAATATATATAAATGTTAAATGTTTACTCATAAAATCTTGCAGGCAACACTGATGTAGCATTAAAAATGTGTTTAGGCCAGACGCAGTGGCTCACGCCTGTAATCCCAGCACTCTGGGAGGCGGATCACAAGCTCAGAGGTTCGAGAGCAGCCTGGGCAACACGGTGAAACCCTGTCTCTACTAAAAATACAAAAAAATTAGCCAGGCATGGTGGTGCACACCTATAATCCTAGATACTCAGGAGGCGGAGGCAGGAGAATTTCTTGAACCTGGGAGGTGGAGGTTGCAGTGAGCTGAGATCGTGCCACTGCACTCCAGCCTGGCCAACAGAGCAAGACTCTGTCTCAGAAAAAGAAAAATAAATAAATTAAAAAATAATAATGTGTCCAGATAACTGCAACATTTGATTGTAACTCTACTCATGGAAGGCAGGTATGCTGAATCCTTGACATGCACTGTATGGCAGTACAATTCCAAAGGAAATGCAGTATTATCATAAATGAAAGACTCTAATGAGAAACTTAATAAATAAGCATTTAAAAAAACAAGAAGGCCAGGTGCAGTGGCTCACGCCTGTAATCCCAGCACTTTGGGAGGCCAAAGCAGGTGGACCACTCGAACTCAGAAGTTTAAGACCAGCCTGGCCACCGTTGTAAAACCCTGCCTCTACTAAAAATACAAAAATTAGCCAGGTGTGGTGGTGGGCGCCTGTAATTCCAACTATTTAGAAGGCTGAGGCAGGAGAATTGCTTAAACCCGGTAGGCAGAGGTTGGAGTGAGTCGAGATTGCACCATCGCACTCCAGCCCGGGCAACAGGAGCAAAACTCCATCTCAAAAAAAAAAAAAAGACAATTTTGGGCCAGGCTCAGTGGCTCACATCTGTATCAGAACTTTGGGAGGCCGAGGCAGATGGATGGATCACGAGGTCAGGAGTTCAAGACCAGCCTGGCCAACATGGTGAAACCCCGTCTCTACTAAAAGTACAAAAATTAGCCGGGCATGGTGGTGTCTGCCTATAGTCCCAGCTACTCAGGAGACTGAGACAGGAGAATCGCTTGAACCTGGGAGGTGGAGGTTGCAGTGAGCAGAGATTGTACCACTGAACTTCAGGCTGGGCGACAGAGTGAGACTCTGTCTCAAAAAAAAAAAAAAAAGAAATTTTATGTTTTAAATATATGCTATTGTTACACAAAATGAAACTGCTGTAATCCAACTTTAGAAGCAAAAAAATAGCCTTACATTGCTATATATATATATACACACTCACATATATAAATATATATAATGCTAAATATATATAAATGTTAAATATATAAAAATATATATATTGCAGAATATAGTTAGAGTGTCTGATATATAAAACAAATATCTGCAAATAAATTACATTATTTAGATATAGGCTGGACAAAATGGGTGCAAATCACAGAATTCTTTTTTCCTACATCAAGCCTAAATTTATAAGTAAAGTTTTAGTAAATATGGAGTGCCTACAAATTATCTAATTTACTTCAGGCATTACATGTAAATTCTAGCATATTGTTCTAAATTTCTAAATGTAAAATTACAGACAAAATTGAAATAGAAAATGGAGAATAAAAATGTTTAGCAGGAGTGAAATCAGTAAGATGGGAGAATAAAAGGTAACCTATTTTGTTATCTCCTGCACAGCAAGACAATTTGTCAGCCATCCCTGACAAAAACGCCTTTAGGAGATGGCCAGGCATCATGACTCACACCTGTAATGAAAGATACATGGTATATTAAGTTTAGAGAATTACTTCAGGTTAGGATTTCAAAATCAGCCTGAATTATGTACGTAGCAAGACTCCATTTCAAAATAAGTGCCTTTGAGAGCTTTGAGATCCAGAGAGAGAGGGAGTTGTGGAATTCTGATAAAGCCCAAGATTTAAAAGTTTTCTTTTCAGAAGGTAGGCCCTCATTCAGGTGCAAACTACAGGATCCCTGTTCTTAACTACAGACTAGGAAATGGCCCACTCAACTTGGTCCCACTAGAATTCTGAATTTACTATGTAATCATCCCAAACTCCTCCCAGCCAAAGTCTGGGAGAGATTCTGCTTTTCCAGAGGCCCGGAGGAAGATACCCATTTATAGCCATGTCAGCTGGCCTACAGACCTTAGCCTTTACTGTGGTCCCTGAAGCAGTTCAATGACTCAGTTCCAGCTCGCTGAGCCACAGTTTATAGTCAGTTCTGCCTATATAGAAACCCACACAGTGACCTGGAAAGATCCTTTCTGGTACTCGCTGAAAGCCATAGTCATCCACATTCTGATATAAGGCCCACCATATGCAGACCCTACTGCAAAACCCTGCCCTAGTGTTTGCCCTACAGAGCAAAATCCTCTGCCAAAATTCAGTCTGTCCAAAATGGGAATTTAAACTACCCAAGTTTTTTAGGACAAGCCAACTAAGGGTAGACCCTAGTGCAGACCCAGCAGCCTTGTGACAAAGCCCTCTCCACTACAAACCAGAGGGCATCCCATTACCCTGAGGGTCCAACAAAAGAAGATCTTTACCTTCTGAAACCAGTTTATAAAAACTTGAGCTGTTTTCTCCTTCTATACACAAATGCCAATGCAAAACTATATTGTGCCCATTGTCAATGCTGCTAGTTTAACATAACACTGAAAGTACTGGCAGAAGAATTAGTCAAAAAATGAAAAAGAGCAATTGAAATTGAAGACACATAAGTAAAAAGTTGCTAGCTGTAGCTCATACGATTTTATATATATATATAAACATAAACAGTACATTAAAACTTGTAAATACACTCAGTAAATTAGAAAAATATAAAACTAACATACAAGTTAGGGTTCCATAAATCTAAACTGTCTGATACAATAGAGAAAAAAAAATCTTATTTACAATAGCATTAAAATAAATTTCTGAGAACAAATTTAACCAAGGAGGTACAGTCTTTACAGTGAGAGATATATCAGTGAAATATATTAGAAAAGACATAAATAAATTTGAAAATATTTTATGTCTATGAATTGAAAGAAAAAATACTGTTAAAGTGACATGTTATCCAAAATGATATATAGATTCAATAGACTCCCTATCAAAATTCCAGTGGCATTTTTCACAGTAATAAAAAATGTAATTCTAAAATGTAAATGAAACTATGATATACTTTAAATAGCCAAAGCAACCTTGAGGAAAAAAAACAAAGCAGAAGGATATCATACTTTATAATTTTCTTTTCTTTTTTCTTTTTGAGATGGAGTACCACTCTAAAGCCAGGCTGCAGTGCAGTGGCACAATCCTGGCTCACTGTAACTTCTACCTCCCCGATTCAAGTGATTCTCCTGCCTCAGCCTCCTGAGTAGCTGAGATTACAGGCGTGTGCCACCACACCCAGCTAATTTTCTGTATTTTTAGTAGAGATGGGGTTTCACCATATTAGCCAGGTTTCCAAACTGCTGAATCAAAAGATTTATCTCTGTGAGATGAATGCACACATCACAAAGCAGTTTCTCAGAAAGCTTCTTTCTAGTTTTTATCTGACCTCCTGATCTGCCTGCCTGGGCCTCTCAAAGTGCTGGGATTACAGGCGTGAGCCACTGTGCCCGGCCCTTGAGCCACTGCACCCAGCCCTTTATAATTTCAAGACTACATTTGAAGACTACAGAAATACAAACAAATAAAATATGTAGAAAAATGGAAAAAAAAAAAGGGGGGGGGGCGCGGCATAGTGGCTCACACCTGTAATCCCAGCACTTTGGGAAGGCAAGGAAAGCAAATCACCTGAGGGCAAGAGTTTGAGACCAGCCTGGCCAACACAGTGAAACCGCATCTCTACTAAAAACAAAAAATTAGCTAGGCGTGGTGGCCATGTGCTTGTAATCCCAGCTATTTGGGAGGCTGAGACAGGAGAACTGCTTAAACTCAAGAGGCAAAAGTTACAGTGAGTTGAGACTGTAGCACTGCACCCCAGCCTGGGCCACAGAGTAAGACAGCAAGACTCTGTCTCAAAAAAAAAAAAAAAAGAAGAAGAAGAAGAAGAAAAGAAAACAATAGAAAACACTTCTCACACGTTTCAGACATGATGGAAAAAAAGAACTTAAAAAATCATTTAATAGAGTTTCTCAAAATTATGCAGATATTTCTTTGTCTCCAAAACAAATGAGTAAGGATTCAGATTGCGCAGTCTCTTATATGCCATGAAAAGGACATTGGTTCTCACTGAAAACTTGAAGGGAAATTACTAAAAATGTAAATAGAAACCTTAGAGAATTTAAAAGCATAAGACAGAAAATGCTCAAATGTGAGCGCAAAAAATACTCAGGCTTTCCAGAAACTATTTCCTTTAAAACACAGCTTCCCAAATCACATTTTAAGGACTGGTTTTCTCTTTGACCTTTGGACCTCTCATCTTTGTCACCTGTTGTATTCACTTTCACTCTCACTTACCTGGGGGTTCATCTACCATCTCATGTCTCTGCATAGTTAAAGGCTCTTTTTCTTGCTCCAGACAGGTGATCAGGTCTGGCTTAGAGACAGCAATACCTGTTTTATTAAAAAATAAATAACATGAATCTTGCTCATATTTTCCAATTACCAACCTAGTAATGTGCTCAGTAAAGAGAATGTAATAGAATAGCAAATTAATCCCCAAATACTGACTTGTAACAGAAATTTTTAAATACTTAGAAAATATTCTAAATTTGCAGGTTCTTAATTTCATTACCCAGTACTTATGAATCAAAACTTTGTGTTGGCAATTAGATTTTAAGGTGTGGGCAACAATGTTTTATGCCACTAAACTTCTGAAATTACCACTAATCTAGAGTGAAGGACACAGATCAGCTCAGGAATGTGGTAAGTTCAGATCAAGATGAAACATACTGAAGAAATTCATCTCAATACAGACAAATCCTTAAGATTTTCTCAAAAACAGGGATCTGAAACTCATTTATTCAAAGCATACATTACCAAAACACATTCTACAAAGAAGAGAAATGAAACCTTTACGGTATATTAGAAACTGTGTGTTGGGACAGGCATGGTGGCTCACACCAGTAATCCTAGCACTTTGGGAGGCCAAGGCGAGTGGTTAACCTGAGGTCAGGAGTTCGATACCAGCCTGGCCAACATGGTGAAACCGTGTATCTACCAAAAATACAAAAAAAATTAGCCAGCCATGGTGGCTCACGTCTGTAGTCCCAGCTACTTGGAAGGCTGAGGCACGAGAATCGCTTGAACCCAGGAGGCAGAGGTTGCAGTGAGCCAAGATCGCACCACTGCACTCTAGCCTGGCGACAGAGCCAGACTCCATCTCAAAAGAAAAACAAAAAGAAACTGTGTGTTGAAGTTATCCTTACCCAGGAAGACCAGGTTTCTGTAGTTCTCTAAAATCACATTTTTATATAAATTCCGCTGTGCAGTGTCCAGGCATTGCCATTCTTCCAGAGAGAATTCTACGGCCACATCCCTAAATGTCAACAGTCCCTGAAAAACACATACACACAAACATATTCACGAGGTAGCCAACAGAGATTATAATTTGACTCAAGGTAAAATGAGAGAGTAATGAGAACTGCTTCTGATTTACAGGAGTGACTGAAATTATCCAATAAAATCAATTTTTTTACACAGAAATATTTCCTTACGTGTTCTCTAACTCTGAGAAAACAGTGGCACAAGAGCCACAACACCAGTGTATGTATAATAATTTTATGGATAATAATATATACAATAGGTCATGCACAATGGCTCATGCCTGTAAACCCAGCACTTTGGGAGGCCGAGGCAGGCGGATCACCTGAGGTCAGGAGTTCCAAGACCCACTTGAGCAACATGGAGAAACCCCACCTCTACTAAAAATACAAAATTAGCCAGGTGTGGTGGCGCATGTGTGTAATCCCAGCTACTCAAGAGGCGGAGGCAGGCGAATCATGAGAATCGCTTGAACCTGGGAGGTGGAGGCTGTGGTGAGTGGAAGTTGCAGTGAGCTGAGATCGTGCCATTGCACTCCAGCATGGGCAACAAGAGTGAGACTCCGTCTCAAACAAAAAAACAAAAAAACAACAAACAATATATATATAATTAAGGACATAAACACAAACATGTACCTTTTTGAGTGCTTCAGAAGCTTCTGTGTAATAAACGCTATCTTGTTTAAATAATAGCTAATTGGCCGGGCGCGGTGGCTCAAGCCTGTAATCCCAGCACTTTGGGAGGCCGAGACGGGCGGATCACGAGGTCAGGAGATCGAGACCATCCTGGCTAACACAATGAAACCCCGCCTCTACTAAAAATACAAAAAAATTAGCCGGGCGTGGTGGCGGCGCCTGTAATCCCAGCTACTTGGGAGGCTGAGGCAGGAGAATGGCGGGAACCCGGGAGGCGGAGCTTGCAGTGAGCCGAGATCGCGCCACTGCACTCCAGCCTGGGCGACAGAGCGAGACTCCGCCTCAAAAAATAAATAAATAAATAAATAAATAAATAAATAATAGCTAATTAAGAACACAGATGGAACCTCAACATTAGATGTTCCCCATTTTTACTAAGGACCCCAGGTTTTCCCAATAGAAATCTTGAGTATCTACACCTTCCTATGTTCAACAGCCACAGGCAACATTTTTAATATTGCAGATCATAAAATAATGGTGAGAATTCTGCATGGCATATAAGAAGCCATGATGTAGAGAAGGCTCTGGTATACAGAAAAGAAATATTTTTCAGAGTCTTGACTATCATAAGAGTTTTTAGAAGTAGTTAAAACAAACTCATTAGGGAGAAAAAACACAAGTAGAGAAGTCAAAGTAAACGCATGGCATTCCAGGAGGCAGAGCGGACATAGCTCTTGATCTGAGACACGTTTAACTGAAAAGAAGCCATTTTTTCCTTTCTCTGAAAATTCTTTTCAGATGTGATTCTCTGGACAAATTACACCTGCATCTTTAGAATATGCCTTTAAAGGTATCAGTACCACATGTTTACCTGCTCCTATCATACCCACAGGCAGAAGGACCAAGACTAACTGAAAAAGTCCACCCATTTCTGTCCTTCATACCACAAGAGATTCAGGAACCATGAGCTGCTCCATGGAGATAAAAGTAAAAGTTTCTTTCCTTCTGTCCTCAGGTGCCCTGCCCTGCCATGGACACCAGCAATTTCTGCTACAGCAATGAAAATACGAGCCACACTTTTCTGTCACTACCAAACCAAACAGAACCAGTCCTTTGACCATTCTTTAGAGCAAAGGTGGAACTTAACTCTCATGAATGTATCTTGAACCCCTCATACTTGATTTTGGGCTCACGTTAGAGTCACGTGAGGCACTTAATTAAAACAACGTGGGTGGGAACAGTGGCTCACACTTGTAATCGCGGCACTTTGGGAGGCCGAGGTGGGCAGATCACTTGAGGCCAGGAGTTTGAGAACAACCTGGCCAACATGGCAAAACCCCCTCTCTACTAAAAATACACAAATTAGCCAGGCATAATGGTATGCACCAGTAATCTCAGCTACTTGGAAGGCAGAGGCACGAGAATCGCTTAAACATGGCAGGCGAATGTTGCAGTGACCGGAGGTCGGACCACTGTACTCCAGCCTGAGCAACACAGTGAGACTCCATCTCAAAAACAAAAAACAAAACATGATACCTCCGCCCAGAAGAATAAACAGACCCATGGATAGGGCACAAGTAGGTATTTCTGCAAATTGGCCATGGCCATGTAATCTTTTTTTTTTTTTTTTTTTTGAGATGGAGTCTCGCTTCTGTCCGCCAGGGGCTGGAAAAAGTGTCAACGTGGGCCCAGAATCTCAAGCTCACTTGCAAGCTCCGCCTCCCGGGTTTCAACGCCATCTCCCGGCCTCCAGCCTCCCGAGTAGCTGGGACTACA